AGTCCATTGCTATAAAGGCAACCAGTATCAGTAGCTTACCAATCAGATACCCTGAAACAGATAAACTGTAAGCAATATAGCAGACTGAAAAAAATAATGTTCATAGCATAAATAACACAGGATGCAAGAAAATTTGCAGCATCAAGAAAAAATGCATCTAAATAGTATTTGGCTTTAAGTAAAAAAAAACTTTATTTGTTATATATGAAAATTGTGATGTTCGAAATTACAGCGAACATGTACTTATGTATTGAAAATTTACACATGATTAAATTTACACGTGATTAAATTTACACGTGATTAAACCATCAGGGAGTATACAAAAATCCTTGTTCTTTTTAAATCAAAAACTAAATTCAGATTAACATGCAGCTGGTATAGTGTACATCTACGGGATAAATCCTGCACCGAATTCAAGTATCACTTATACTGGTGGCCAAAAACCTACAAAATAGGTGACATAAACGTTCATTGAAACGACTTTAATAGGTTGATTTGCCTGTAATTGTTAAAGGTGATATAGGCATACATAAAATGGTAAATTGATATCATGGCACTTCTGTTTATACCTCCACTCAAATCATTCAATTTTCCATCTAGCTTGCTTACAGTATTTTTGGAATCGTTGGTGGACCATGTCTTGGAATCTTTGCACTTGGAATGCTGGTTCCATCAGCCACGTGGAAAGTGAGTATTCTATTATTAATCGACTAAACGTGGGTCTCTTTCAGGCCATAAACGTTGAGACCAACATAATTTGGGAAAATGAAACGCCATACGAAGCTTATATGCACTTCTTGATGTAGGGCGGTGCTTATTTCTATTCATAAATGATATACTTTGTTTGCCTTTTGTATCAATAAATTTAAATCTTAGGCCCATGTTCCTCACAGATAAATCCTTTATTACTTTGTGATGTCACCTCCAATGGGATTTATTAACGAGGTTTAACGCTTTTATCAACAAACTTGAGATATATTTCTGCACTATCCAAATCTGTCTTGCGAAACAGAGCTTTTAAAACATTCCCTGTACCTGAAACCCCATGATTACTTAAAGGTGCAGAGAGTGGGACCAAAGGAAATACATTAGTGTTATTGCGATAGCGTTAATGCAATACTGAGCTATGAACAACATGCCCTGTTCCAATAACCATATGATTTTCTTCAGGGAGCTTATTGTGGAGCATTTGTTGGAGTGACTACAACGCTTTGGCTGGCAATCGGAGCTCAGGTCTACCCACCGAATAAATTTCACGCCCCAGTATCAGTGGAACAGTGCCCAAGGTTTTTGGTGAATCAAACATACGTGTACCCAGCCAATTTCACTAAGGTTTTCTACAACAAGTTCACGCCACACGAGTAAGTATTAACTATCTAATGTGTTTTTGAATGATTGAAATTTATCAATTCTGTCAAAGATTGTTTGCCCCGTTGTTGAATGGTTGGAAATCCTGGTTAGCTTGAAAGGTCACCGCCGTCAGAAAATTCAGTTAACTAAGTGTCATACATGCGAGGGAACAAGATGAGTAGAATAGCGAATCAACAGCTGACATTTAGTAACTCGTGTTTATGATTCAGAATTACTATTTCCACATAGGCCCACCTCCCCCAGGCCCGATTGCGCCAATGTTAGGTCAGAAGTTACAAATAATTCGACGGTTGGATCTGAAAAGTTTTGAAAAAACGATTTATTACTCTGAACGTGAGGTGTCAAGGGAGTAGTTTAATTCATCTGTTGAGAAACCTCGGACTTTTATCAAATCCTGCACTTCATTTCAGCACCAACCTAGCCAGTTTCTACAGCATCTCCTATCTGTGGTACGCAGCTATCGGAGTCACGTTTACGTTTGTCGCGGGTGTCATCTTCAGCTGGGTGTTCGGTAAGTCTCGCTTTTTCTTTCTTATACGGATGCAAAACGCTGTATTTTCATGTTAGTTCGTCGCGTGTCTGAAGTTTTTCTTGCCAGGTCATTGATCTTTAGATTGATAGTCAATGGAGTTGTGCGTGTTGTACGTGAAGTAATGAACAAAAATTGATACAATAGAATAACGATTTTGTACAAGAAATGAATATTTATTACGAAGTTTCGAGTGTTAATCTTCATCAGGTAAGTACTTTTCTTTACCATCAGTTCTTTACCTGATGAAGAACTAGGTTCGAAACGTTGTAATAAATATTCATTTCTTATACAAAATCGTTATTCTATTGTATCAATTTTTGTTCATTTACAAATCTTTAGACTAAGGAAATTAGTCTAACATTGCAAACATTGTGCAGCAAAATCGCGAAAACTTGTAGTGGAAAGTAACATTGAAAAACAAGGTATTGTGAAGGCTCTTAATACTAAGGAGGGTTACTCTTACCGGTTAAACGGGTTGGTCATTTGTATTTGTTATTACCTAGCTTCCGAAGGAAGATTTAAGTCATTGGGAAGCTATTTATCGAGCCATGTCCTGGTCCTTTCTTTTGAAGTGACCACACGCTCGCCCGGATTTATAGGGAGCAATGTCCCGATCCTTCCTTTCGAAGTGATTATACGCTCGCCCGGATTTATAGGGAGTAATGTCCTGGTCCTTCCTTTTGAAGTGACCATACGCTCGCCCGGATTTATAGGGAGCAATGTCCCGATCCTTTCTTTCGAAGTGACCACACGCTCGCCCGGATTTATAGGGAGCAATGTCCCGATCCTTCCTTTCGAAGTGATTATACGCTCGCCCGGATTTATAGGGAGCAATGTCCTGGTCCTTTTTTTTGAAGTGACCACACGCTCGCCCGGATTTATAGGGAGCAATGTCCCGATCCTTTCTTTCGAAGTGACCACACGCTCGCCCGGATTTATAGGGAGCAATGTCCCGATCCTTCCTTTCGAAGTGATTTTACGCTCGCCCGGATTTATAGGGAGCAATGTCCCGATCCTTTCTTTCGAAATGACCATACGCTCGCCCGGATTTATAGGGAGCAATGTCCCCATCCTTCCTTTCGAAGTGATTATACGCTCGCCCGGATTTATAGGGAGCAATGTCCTGGTCCTTCCTTTTGAAGTGACCATACGCTCGCCAGGATTTATAGGGAGCAATGTCCCGATCCTTTCTTTCGAAGTGACCACACGCTCGCCCGGATTTATAGGGAGCAATGTCCCGATCCTTCCTTTCGAAGTGATTATACGCTCGCCCGGATTTATAGGGAGCAATGTCCTGGTCCTTCCTTTTGAAGTGACCACACGCTCGCCCGGATTTATAGGGAGCAATGTCCCGATCCTTTCTTTCGAAGTGACCACACGCTCGCCCGGATTTATAGGGAGCAATGTCCCGATCCTTCCTTTCGAAGTGATTATACGCTCGCCCGGATTTATAGGGAGCAATGTCCTGGTCCTTCCTTTTGAAGTGACCACACGCTCGCCCGGATTTATAGGGAGCAATGTCCCCATCCTTCCTTTCGAAGTGATTATACGCTCGCCCGGATTTATAGGCAGATGGCCACTGTCATCACTCTCAGCGAAAGTTTGGTCATATTCGACACACAGGTGCCGGATGACACACAGTCTGCAGTCCACGACCCAAATCACAGTTCAATCCTCGTACTTGTTAGTCATTATGTGCAGTAATGTTTTTGGGGGTGTCGAAGGAGCCACCAGGGGTGAATCTCTAGAGCCCACGACCTTCGTTATACACGTGCTAGATTGTACGTATCTCTACCTAAATAATTTTACCTCATTGCCAGAAGCTGTACCTTGCATGTTGAGTTGAGTAAAATCTGTTGTCTTCAATGGCAAATAAACAGATTTTGTTGGTTTTTTAGGTCCCGGTAACCCAGACGATGTCGACCCCAAGCTTCTCTTTGATTACAAAGGGTTTTTCTGGTCAATTCTGCCACGAAAATTTCGCCCAGCAAGGTACAACTTTAGGCAGAGCTCAGAAGACTTTGAAGCTGAAATGAAGTCACCTTCTGGAGGGGTATGTATTCCTATACGCTAATAATGTCAGTACTATCATCCTCTCGTTATATTTTCTTTTTCTTCTCACTATAAATGATTTTTTTTCTTTAAACTTATATACCGCTATATAGTCCACATTTCGCTAAACTAGTATCGACCATTAGGCAACGTTTTCCATATTTGCTCTACCTATAGGGGCGGATCCAGAGCAAAGTTGAAGGAGGGGCAGTTTGTAGTACGGGCGCTGAAAAATTGTCAGAAATTTGAGACGAGAGTATGACAGAAGACTCTCAATTCACATTCTAAAGGAAATTTTCATAATAATTGTGCCAAACTGTTTCCAAAAAAGGGGCACCAGACTTGCTTCAGCTCGATGAGGGAGAGGCAACTGCCCCTAGTTGCCCCCCCTTCTTTTAATCCACCACTGCTATCTAGCCTCAGAAGGTAGTTTTTAGGACACCGAGAAGCTACAGATGCTTGTTGAGAAGTGCCTTGGGCCTTCCTCTTAATGTGACCACACCTAGTGATTTCCACGCCTGGATTTGCAGAGAGCTGGCGAATCTCTTGACTTTGAAGTGGAAGTTTGGTCATGTCCCAAGACCCAAGACCATGAATCTGTAGCCCGTGACCCTAAGCTCTGAGCCACCCTTGCACGATCACAATTGTGTGTTCTGAAAATACCCTATCCGATGTTTAATACTTAAGCATTTCATTCGTTGAGAAACTTGCTGTTGACATAAAAGATTCCTTTGATCTGAATCCCTTTTTATAACGCGAAAGTTATAACACCGCTGCTTATTACGAAATTGCAGAAACGACATCAAAATGGACACATTAGGGCAAGGAGCGAGGTTAAATCTTATGTCTGTTTATTTCCCATAGATTGTTTTGGTAACGCTTACGGATAAAGAAGATGCAAAGGTGAAGGAAGCTGAAAAGGAAAGAAAGTTATCGAAAAAAGACGAGCCTGGTATCATAAACCACGAACGCTTTGAGTAACATCTATCGACGAAGCGATGGTAACTTCTTCATAAGGTTCGCTGTACTCTCGTAACCTTGCTAGCAAGGACTTCGTGCTTTACAAATACTGGTTGTTTTTACTGCAGCAAAATGCTGCTCACTTTATTGATATCATCATGATTTGCATTTTGGTTTCAATTTTGGTTAGGTTCAATCATAATAGTTGTCAATCAAAAAATAACATAGATAGCATAGCAATTTGCCCATGATTTCTTGTGTATAGCCATAGGTCCGGTGGAGTTCTATTATCAACAGCTAGCATGCCGTAATATTAACTCATTGACATTCTACAACTGAACGATCTTTTCAGTGAAAGCAGAAAGCAGGATTCAACCCTGAAGATTTCCTTCAAATCACTTCCCTTTCACCCCTTACTGTAAGTATTTTTTATTTAGCAAATTTCCCGTATGAAAACTCTTTCACACCTTAAAAGACAATAAAAGAACATTTTTAGCATAAAAAACCACCTGTTAGGCACCCTAAACGTCTACACATTTTATTAGCTAAATCGTATAGATTTTGATATTTTGAACAATCCCTGCCCTTTCAATTCTCCCACATAAAGGTTGCTAAGTTCAAATATTTTATCAATTAAGTAGAAAACTTAGCACGTGGGGTTTGGGATGATGTCTCGCAGCTATAACTTGAAGAGGTTATCAAATACCGTAGTTTGGTGTTGTTCTAGTATTACAGTCAAAATGATTTAGTGACGCTTTAAGTGCACATTTATGAGGCCTTCGTCAAAGATCGTGAAAGTTTTGAAGGACATGGAACGTTGCATATTTAGGCTCGCGAGTATATCTTTTTAAAGGTAAGATTCGTATACTACTGATACTGTTTGCCTATATAGCAATAGACTAACCTTGATTCAATGAATGGCAAAATATGACCATATATTCTGTCTAGCATTATTCTGACTACCCATGCCATTGAACCCACACTTTCATGTCATTATTGTGGACATTTTATCAATTTCACATTGAAATGCTGTCTCTATTCTTAAACGATTTCACACCGTTTTAAGCTTTATTCAAATCCCCTCGCACATATTCAACTCTCCACTTATTCAAGATCTGAAAATCTTTAGCTCACACCTTGACATATCTTAATGGCTACCCAGAGTTCTATTTTCAATTTTAATCGAGTTTTTAGATATGATAAAGCATCTTATTGAACTTTAATCTTGTCTGTTGTGTAGAGCATTATACTTATATTAAACATAAGTTTCGTTTTATAGCTATATAAATAATTGAAGAAAATATCGAGAAGTACTTAGGGGGTGTTTAAGATGCTGCAATACCTCTTCTGTTTATCACCAAACCATCCTATGTTAGGTAGATTGCACCTTAAAAGAGAAATTCATTGACACATGCTGGCATTACCTGATATAATTCCCTTACCAGATATAATTGTGAAGCTTGTAACTGTCACGATTTGGTAAAAATGCTTGTTGTTGTACATATGATATTAAGGACAAACTAAGCTAGTAATCGCAAAATAAATGCGAAGATTCTTGTGGGATGAAAGAAAACTGGCGATTTAAAGACATGGCAAGATAAAAGTCTTCCGTGGAGCAAATGTATTATATTTGCCTTCCCTTCAACATGGAGTCAAGAGTTTTTCGATAAGCTACTTGGGGTGGTGATTAACTCAGCTTAACCTCACGATAGGCGCCATTTGGTAACACCCTATGCTCCTAACAAGGTTTTAGAATGTTCCTTTTTATGCACTTTCTACTATCAAGTGCATTCAACGACCTTTATTGTAGAAACAACTGTAAGGATCTAAGACTTTTATTGAAAGGCAATAGGATCGATTTTGCTTTAGGTAGCACTTATTAGGATTTGGTATCAAAGAATGCATAAGCAACCGTCTTTGAGCAGCTTTTTGTGAATTGAAAACTAAGCTGATTATATTTGTGTGGCCTTCATATTGTTAAGGTTCCGAAATCGCCCCATTCTGAAACTCTCCAACCGACTCCTTCTGCTTTCTAGATAGGCCTTTCCTTCTTCACATTGTTTGGGGCTGCAAGACTTCAAATACTGGTGATTTAACACTACGCTCTTGAGATATATTAGATTGAAATATACTTATGTAAACGGCGTGACGTCACACGTCCTACCATTCTTCTGAGCACATGACTGATTTGATTTAAATAGAATTTGATTTTAATTACAAATTGCGCCATGGCGTTACTTTGTTTTGTATTCTATATAGCTTATTAGTAATGAAGCTGATATTCTAAGAGTTATTAACGTGATCTAATATTCTATCTGTGGAATCGTTGTGGGTATAATTATGAATTGAGCATTTTTATTGCTTTTTAGATAGTAGTTAAGAAGTTGTTGTTTCTGTTTGACTCTCTGCTTTTTGCTGAATAAAATATGCAACTAGTGCAGCTTTTGAGGACAGATATGGGCAATTTTGTGTTACATAAGTATTGATTTGATAGTTATGGGTTGAATTTTAAAAATTTTGTTTGTTTGATGTAGCCTTTCAAATGGAGAAAGAATAATCTAGTGATTTTTGCGGGTATTTCATGGCATTTTTAAATCGGAAGGTCTTGATGAAAAATCTGCGATCATCCCTAGCAATAAATGTGGACAGTCAATGTTCATAAGCATAGTAGTTATCTTACTGCAGATGAAACTGAAATTGCTACATTAATAACAAGATCCACTCTATCCATTTAAGACTTCAGAGTTTGGTATTGCTGGCTTTTTTAAACTGGAAACACGTTAATCGAGGACAGCCTGGGTGTTTTGTACCCTTTAATTCTTTAGCATGTCTTGTACCTTGGGTTTTTCTAAAGAAATTAATTGCTGAAGACAGTAATATTGAATTTTTTTCAAGAAAATTTATGTGAGTTTCATGCTTTCTGTCTCCAGGGCGATATGTTAGTTACGTTTACTGAAAACTTCCTTTTCCTTTCTAAATTAGCTGTACCAGCTCAACCTGACGAATGTTTTTTAACGTTTCTTCGCTGAGTTAAGCTTCTTAGAGAGCATTTAAAACTATCCATGCGAAAAGATACCTTTCTTATGGACAGCAGGAGTCTGTGTGAGATAATGATCCAGCAAAGGATTTCCCAGAATGGTCTCATGCTGACAAACAAAAGCTCAATCAAACTCAAGGGAAGAAGCATTCAAGAATCATCAGATCAGGTCACTTGAAATAAAATTTAGGTGCAAAGGCCTTGAATTCTGGAATGATCTCAACTTAATATAGATTAACTCAGATTTACCCAGAGCCAAAAGCCCTTTGTCTGACTTTATCTTGCCTTATCTCAACATAAATTTGGTGCTACACTTGAGAAACTTTGAAAGTAAATGCATGTTGTGTATTGAAGTGAAAGTTTTTTTCAGCTACTGTTTGGTTGATGTTTTCGTACGTGTTGTAACTTTGAAGTGGCCCAGGGTCAATTTAATTAGCTTTCCCTTGGTTGCATATAATGCTCTTTTAATTGTGTTTAAAATTCTAATGCCTGGAAATGCTTAAAATTCATTGCTGCAATATATGAGACTAAAATAAATTGACCTTTTTAATCGTGAGAAAAAATCAGAGAATAATGCAAAGTACTTGTAACATGTACGTAGTTGTGGCGCGGTTAAAACGCAGGTTTAACGCGTTAATGGCGCGGAATAAAAAAAAGGCCGTAGGACTATTTCACTTTGACAATGAAATTGCATCATTTTGGTAAGATTTAAGTGTGTCTCTCCAGTGAGCAAATATTTATTTATTTCTCCAGTTATTCGAGATTATTTTTTTCCAGCCTAACAATCTCTTAGGCATTAAAGGAGTGTCTTTGTTAGACCTAACGAAATTCATGCATTCCAGATTAAAGAAAAAGCCTTTTGGCCATTTATCGTTTTATAGCCTTAGTATTATTAAATATTGTAAATTAGGTTTGATTGGTAAATTTCTTTTGTTACTAGTATTATAACATAGTTATTAGCTCTTATTTTAATCTTTTAAACAGGTCAGGTTGAAAAACATATGTATGAACCTTTAACCTGTATAAATATTATAAAATGAAAATGAAATGAATGAAAGAATGATGTCATCATTTTCACCAAGACCAAATACTTTACATAAATGTTGCTAGACCCAAAATATAACTTACAAATCCGAATTTACTCTAGAGCTCAGAAGTTAAAAGAAGGCCATGTTAGAAATGGTATTTGAACTCTTTTGATACCCATTTGTGTTTGTTTGTGCATTGGGCTCTGTAATAATATGCAGAACTCAGGCTCTATGATTTGAAAACAAAACAGACAAGGTATCAAAATTATTTACCACTGGATATTCTCATGTTTCCCTTGGTGGTCTTTCGATGTTTTTGTAGCAACGAAACAGCGACTTATTTGGGGATATGTTGGCATATTTTGCTCCATATTGACAGTAACAACCCTAAAAACAAAACAAAATTATATGAAATAATGTTTAAGTAAAAGTTGAACATATTTTTGTCATGAAAGTCAATAAGCTGCAAACACTTGATAAACATAGGAAGATATTGGGCATTGTTGTAAGGGAGCTGTAGGAACAAACATATTCGAGAATTAGTTATTGATTGGCGAAAAGAAACACGACCTTTCATTGAAAATTAGTCGGCAAGTATATTACTTTTGAAAAACAAATTTTGATAACTCTTTAAAGGCAATCTGTCTCGTTGTGGATTGGTTAACGAGAACAATAGCTGAACAATACCCTAAGCACGATTCCAGCGCTCTGCCATATTTTCTAAAATGCGATAAATTAAAGGGGGACTGGAAACCATTTTCACTTTGAACCAATAAAGTTCCACTTCAATAAATATTTGCTACTTTGAATTATAACAAAACGTTTTTTCGCAAAAAACTTGATTTCCAGTCTACTAGGTTGCTGGAACTCGCTTCTAATGAAAACAAAGTATGTGATTAAAAAGATTTTCTTTTAATTAAACATTTGTGGAACATACACGTTTGTTATGAAGCATGTGTGCACCAATACTTTTTATTATCTTGAAAGTTATTCAACCATGAGACCTGGAATTATAAACTAATATTGTGGATGTTTCTAACAGAAAGCCAACTATTTTCATTTTAGAAAACGCAACTAAATCAACTTTTAGAAGTTATATTACGCAAGATCGCCTCCATTGTATAAACAATTTTTGAGATTAGTTTCAACCAAAGCTACGGTTTATGTTTGTCAAAACAAAGCGTTATCAAATAGTTGAATCTATCAATATGATTATAATAATTTTGTTCTAAACCCATAAAGTATAAACATTATTTTCAACATAAATTAGATAATTATTCCATTTCCGATCTAATTAATCAAATGCAAAATTGCCGTTATTTTTGCTGGAATCACAACATACATAGTTAACAAAGTTTCAGTTTTCCTTTCTTTGTAAATAACGATCTATCTTAGGCGCAAATAAATCTGTTACAAAATCAGACTTTTGCTAATGTTGATTACAAATCAGAAAAACATAAGAACATTCATCCCCAACTACATCGGTAGCAATGTCTGGAGTTGAGGTTTTCATTCATGTCTCCAATGTTATCTAAAGACGGGAAGATAACGACGGCAGCCATTTTCCCACATTTAAATAGCATAAGTGATATTAAGACTTTTAAGAATAAGATAAAATATGCCGCATTCTCTAATAAACTTCTCTCAAAAAAGGATAAACAACTTCTTACAATGTATTTGGAATAAATGGGTCATTCATTTGAGAATAACGGTGACAACAGAACACTGACGTAAGGGGGGAGTATTTCTCATGGATATTGGAATCTCTGCGATAGTAGGCAATGCCATATTATACAAAAATGTCATTCACAAAAATCTACTACAAACGCTGTCACCCCCGTCAAATTGGGAGCGAAGTGACTTTGACAACAATCGCAAGTTTTTTAAGCAAACCTAAAAATTGGAGCAATCGATTCACAGGCCAGTATCTTGGAGATTTTAAGCATGTCCGATACAAGCTGCATTTTCGGACTCTCTTATTCAAAGCCTTCTACCCCGGACAATTATATTTTTTTTTGTCGATGAAAGCATCTTAAAGAAGGTGTTTCTATTTTGCAGAAATCTGCAAATATTTAAACAAACATTGAGCAGTTATTGTGTAAGCAAAAAAGCTAATCTTATATTAAAATCTTATTTTAATAATAAGATTGCATGCATTATGGATTTCACAATTGATAAAATACAGTTAAAAGCTTTATGTTTAGGCATTTGCATACACTAAAAGAGAAATATTTATATGATTGTTGACTAAAGTTTTCAAGTATAGTAGTATTCCCCTTTAGGTGCTTGTTCCTCGCGAAGTATCAAATATACATAAATGATCTCGCATATTATTTCTGCATATTTTCAGTATATAATTTAACAGATAGTTTAAGCATAAATTCAAAAACTTCTTAACTACGGGGCACAGAGAGGGGGCGGTTATCTCCTCGCGCTTGCAAAATTTAGCCATTTCGTCACTTTAAAAACCAATTTCTTGGCGATTCACCAAATTTGAATTCCTTCTTAACAGACGTCGCCGCATATAGAGCCAATGCATTATAAACATCAACCATATAAAGCACGATCCCGAAGCACGATCCCGAAACACGATCCCGAAGCACGATCCCGAAACACGATCCCGAAGCACGATCCCGAAACACGATCCCTAGGAAGACCAGCATTAAATATAAATTAATCTTTACTTTTTTCGCACTTAGTAGCTGATAGGGTTTCTGTGTTTAAATATGATGAATAAATTATAAATAAAATAAGAAAATCGGACATAAACTTTAACTACTCAACTATATTCTGTAAAATTTTTGTAATATCATCTATAAGTTTAACGCCAAAACTCGAGGGATTCAATGTGTAATATATTTTAGAGGGTATTAGAATAGGGAATTGAATATAAAAAACATTCCAGCAAGCTGAAATTCTGATTTATGTTTGCTAAAGAAGGTTACGAAACACTCCAAATGCATCTGTAACTTGCAGTAAAATTTGACATTTTTTAACAGCATAAATTTGGCTACCATGGATACTAGAGGCATGGCCGCTGAAAGGTTTGGGGGCCCTGGGGCAAAACAAAAAATTTTCGGGACCACGCCCTTTAGATTAGCTTAAGTTCATTCACTGGTTTACAATGTCTTGTACTATTTTCAAGCATAATTTTGTTACTTTATTGATTCAATTTTAAAAATGCAATTCACATCACAACTTAATGAGGCCCCATAAACCTCGATGCTTTGGGGCAATTTCCCCCCACCTCGCGCCCCTTTCGACGGCCCTGACCAGTGCCACATATTGTAGCTATGATAAAAGAACTATTCTGTATAA